TGTATAACTTGAGAAAATACTGCCTAGTTGAATGTAAGAACAAATAAATTTCTGTATATCAAATATTCAAAATGTGGTTTCTGAACTTAATGAACTGAATGATAATAGCAATGCTGCATACATATGCAGTGAATTTAAAAACACATGAAAGGTGACTTTTGTCTGATTGTCTGTGAATTATTACAGCGAGACTACAATAACATACTACACTCATGATCTTTGAATTTGGTCTCAAGTGAGTGACAGGGACATTTCACAGTGAAATACAAAGAAAGCTGTGATTGAAGTCTTAATTTCATTAGTATCATTTAACAAAGTAGAATGTTCAATAATATGTTAAAATTCAAACAATAAATTATCACCTATAAAAAAAAATAAAATAATGACCTGTCAATATATTTTGCAATGTACGAGAGAGTCCAGATTAGTAGTTATCATTAAAGAAAGTATTGTAAAATCTACAAGTTTTAGAGATGATTAAAAGATGTTTCCATAATACCAGCTATGATTCGATCATTACCTTGTCCACGCCTCTTGTTCTCTGCTCTGGTGTTTGATCCACTGTCAGCTGTTGTGGAGCCTCCAAATACATTGTCCCTAGAGTTGTCTGCAGGTCCACCTCTTCTCTTGCCTTTGTGTTCCTCAACTGGCTCTGCAGGTCCTGTTCCAAAGATGTCATTGGACTGTGGTCTGTTGGGGGTTCTCTGAACTGGTTCGGCACCAAAAATATTACTGGACCCTCCTCCAGGTGGTCTTAAAACCCTTCATATTTTAAATAAAACACAGAATGAGGTGAAAGTAAAGCGTTTTGTTTTTTTTTTTTTTTCAATAGCTAGGAGGATAGTGCACAAGCAAACTTTACTTGCCCAGCCTCAAAATGTACTAGACTATACTAATTTGATACTATCAGGAAACTTATTTTACAATACACAATTGCAATGGTATACTGCCCTTGGTCAAACTCTGATAGAACTCTTATTCTTTTAGAAGAGTTCATACTCTGATTTTTTTTTTCTTTTATAATTTAAAAATTTTATTTTAATTGAAGCTTAACAGAATTTCATTTGAAACTTTTTTTCATCTTTAATGGTACATGTATATTTCATATGAGGTAAAGGCATGGGGTTCAATTTACTACATTTCAAAATGTTCAGGATCTAAATTTTGTGACTGATTTAGCATAAACAGTACATAGTTTATTTACTTTATTTAGGTGGACTTCAAACATTCCAATTTTCATCCTGATTCAAAATTTAGTAGCCACCAGTGTTAAAGTAATAAATATTTGTGATGGGTTGGCATGAGAAAGAGTACTGCAAGTAAAAACATGTCACCACTCACCACCTTACTAAGGACTGCAGTCCTGCCTCAGGAGGCCATAAAACAGATGAGCTCACTTTTGATAAGTCTCTTTTTTACCAAAGAAATTAATAGTAGAGAAGTTAGACTGAGATCAAAAGTGATTACCTGTATGTATTTCACACACAAAAAGATAAATATTTATTTGCAGAAATTGTAGTTTTCGTTAACTAGTTATGCACTATCAAAGATAATTGTACATTGTAAGCATGACCTCTTGTACTTGAATTTCAATAGCAAAGTAGATGATAAGAAATATTTTCTTTTTACAAGATAGTATATTAAAGGATAGTAAAAAATCTAGCAAAGTATACAAATGAAAAGCAAAGACTTATTCAATTTTTCACCATTTGTTAAATTTTGAAATTTACTCTAGTACCAATTTTCTTTTTAAAATCCTTTTGAAAAGAATCAGATACTTAAAATGCTCTCAAGTCTTTTTAGAATAGTTCTATAGTGAAACCTTGATCTCAAAGTCAAAATTATTTCCAGCACACTTGTTTAGCTCCATTGAGTTATTTGATTTGGAGTATAAAGACTGTGAAAACGTGAATGTTTTACATAAACTGCTCATGTTATTACCTTTGTTTTATAACTAATTACCTGGATGTTGGCTTGGTATCCTCACCAAGACCTTGGTAGGTACTAGTGGTAGTCATGGTAAATGAATTTTAGGATTCAATGGAATGTGGCCGACACCGGCGAGATGTTGTCGCTCCAACAGTCAACTGCAGGAAATGACGTAAAGTCATGCGCCTTGAGAAATAATGACGTAAAAATATTAACATATTTGCATGATCCCTTTTTGTGATAACTATTTTGTTAAAATCTTCTTATTCTCCGCATGAAACACGTTTTATTTTATGTTTTACAAAAATAAGAAAACTTGGATGAATAAGAGGTATTCAAATCAAGACGGGCAAGGTTCACATACAAAAATATCATCCAATGAAATTGATTTCACTTCCCGCCACGAGGTTTGCCTGTCAACATTAACACGAGGATTTGTTTACATTCTGGACAATGATATTTTCGCGATTATCCAGGCGCTGTTTGCACAATTATTGAAAGCTGTTGAAGTAACTAAAATGTATATTAATGCAAATAAACTAATGCGAATCAAACTAATGCGAATTAAATTGCGTTCACACGATTTCTAAACTAATGCGAATTAAAATTTTAATTCTGCAGCCTGGCGTCAGCACGGCTATTATGACGTCATTTACAAATCACGTCACCTTATGCTGAAGCAGGTCCATTAGGCTATTGGCAAAGTGTCTATATACACATTTTAATGATTTACAAACTTTTCCTTAGTTTTTTCACTCAAAAATAGCACAAGTACCTATAGCTGACCACCGACAAGTGGCATTTGATTTTTGCCGTTACGCATGCGTTTTAATGCGAATTAGCTTCGCTTAGCGTTCACACGAAGCTAATGCGAAGTAATTTAATGCGCAGTAAAATAATTCAAATTAAAATAATTAGCATTAAATTCTCCGTGTGAACGCTAAGCGAAGCTAATTCGCAGTAAACTTACGTTTAATTCGAATTAAACTCTCCGTGTGAACAAGGCATAAAATGTTTTACAAATATTCATAAAAATAACATTTCTAAATCATGATTTATAATTATATAGATTCTTTAATATTTGGACGGGAACGTGAACATTGATTTTGATTTATCATGTCCTAACAAATCAATCTGAAACTTTCTCATATTGTCTATAAATCTAGAAGCAATTTCATGTTTATTAAATTAAGTATTTAAATTCATTATAAAAGTATTTCATTCAACTTGATCACTCAATGGATATGTTTACTGAGATATGGATAATTTGATCTTGTTTTGATATTGTACATCTTCATTGCTATATTCCTCATAAAAAGTTTCTCCTGACCTTTACATCAAAGATACTTCTGTGCTGAGGTCAAATACATACAGTGTCCTTCAAATTTCGTTCATAAAGTGTCTTAATTATTTCAACCTGTGATTCAAGGTGATAAAAATTCATCCTAGCTGTACACATATTCAGCAGATCGCATAAATAGTTCTTGAAAGTGTAAATTATGTAATTTAGACAAGCATTGATTATTAAAGCTCATAGACATGTATAGTTATTCATTGATTTTTGTTTTTTCGCACACTCATTTCTGAGAATTTTAATTATATATGGTTTTTTTTTTAAATTCAGATATCCCGGCTTTTTCTTTTAATCCGTTGATGCAGAATATTAATTTCAAGTAAGGATTCTTTGTGAATCGACCAATAGATTTTTTAAAAATGATTACTTAATATATGAATTCATGCTAAAATCCTTTAACATCTCCTTAAAAATGTCAGAACTATAAAGGAGTAAGAAATGATAAGCGACTTGAACATAGGATCTGTATTGAGATTAAAACTATACATTAACGATTTACCTAAAATGCAAAGAAACAATCATGTTAATATTTAGAGAAAAAGAAATACTAAGTATTCAAAAGTATTTCACTCTTTGAAAACAACAATTTAATTAGAAACATCATCGAAAACGCTTTTTAGTTTTGCTGTTGATATGGTTTGCAAGAATTCTAAACGTATTTGCTGGAAATTCTTTAATTTAACTTTTTTTTTTTTTTTAATTTTTTTTATTTGAAAAAATTTTTTTTTACTTATTTAGCTGTTTTTTTAAATTTGCAATAGTATATTGGTTTATTCTAGGAATATCCAATACAATGGCGTGAAGCCCTAAATTTTATGTTTGACCTGGAAATTTGTATATATAGAGTAATGAAATTGGAAAGTCTATATTAATGAAACATATATTTACATTTTTAATTTCATATTTCTTGATTTTTCTTTAATAAAACCAAACAATTATTTATTATATTTATGGTCGATTTTACTGGATGGTCTGAAGTCACATGACTCAAATATAAAGTATAACTATAAAATTTTAATTCTATGCAAAATATCTTTATAAAAACATAAAACAAATAATTTATACTAAATTTCTTATATTTCTTCGTAAAAACAAGCATAAAATCATAGAATGATCCAACTTCTTTAATATTTTCAATTTAGCTAGTTGTGATGGAAAAAAGAGCGCTTCGCTGACGTGCAGAAGTTCGACTTGTTTGTGTGCCGAACGCAAGATCGCTTTATACCGGAAAGTGGATGATTTTGAGGGAAATTTGGGGATAGATTAGGCGGTTAATAATGTAAACATTGTTTGCATATCTATGCCTCTTAAAAGAAGAAGAAATTCTGGACATGGAGATGGAAATGATCGCGATATCAAGGGTAATAGGTAAGTAAATTAGACAAAACAGAATAAGTTCACCGCCATTTTGTGTATTTTTACCTCGTATTTCAAAGAAAAGAATACAATGTTTAGTGTGTATATTCACTTCAATATTTGAAAGATGGGTCCCTCATAATGTCAGAATAAAACTATAGTCATAAATGCATTGATAACGAATGTTGATAACATAATATTGATGGTATTAACAAGTAAACTATATCGTATCGATAAGCGTCAGCCATTTTGAATTTGTTTTTTGATGTTTTGAGGTGAATGTGATTTTCTCTGTTGCAGCATCAGTACTGATAGCACGGGTATAGCAAACGAAAAGGTACCCAGAACATGTGGTAAGAAGGAGGACACAGCAACCCAGCAAGAAAAGGCGACAAACTTGAAATCATCTGTCAAATCGAGCAGCAATCGGAATAACGGGGAAGCGCGCGTCGGCGCTTTCACCCGATCAAGGATTGTAAAGAAACCAAAAAGGGACTTCAGTCCCCCTGAGTCACCTGTCAAAAAACAAGGTGTTACCTTCATACTAAGTGTTTGACACAGTTTTACAGATTCATCTGTCAAGATCAATATGTTATACTTGCAAATTGTGAACAATACAGTATTTATATGATCATGTTTATAATTGGAAGTTGTAGTATTTGTAATTTTTTTGTAAAAAAATTTCTCAAGTACATCTCAAAAATAATTAAGTAATAACGCAAATCGAAAAAAAATCTTTTGCAAAAGTCATTTACTGTGATTATTATACATTTGTTTTATAAATTTTATTTATATTTTAGCCCAAAAGGAAACCAAATTAAATACCCCTGAAACAAAAACAAAGAGGCAGTGGGAACTATGGAGCTCCGATGACAAAGATGCATTCTTTGATGCCTTGTTTGAGGTTTTTTTTTGCTGGATATCATTACGAAAATGAAATAAATGAATTACTTTCCTCACTGAAATCATTCTATAAGTACTTATGCTTGAACTTCTTGAATGTGACTTGTATTTTACACAAAATTAAGTGCACCATTTTCATTATAAGAGGATATTTGTTTTTAACAAATATATTTCTGATTTTGTAGCATGGAAAAGATTTTGATGCCATTCAGAATTGGATTGCAACAAAATGTAGGAGGAAAAATTTAAACACTGGCCTCATCAAGAACAAAGAACAAGTTCGGCATCTCTATTATCGAACCTGGCACAAAATTTCCAAGTTCATCGATGTTGATACTGGTATGTTTTTATATGTGTATGTTTTGTGAGATGTGATTGCATTTTAAAAATTTAAAATAATTTAGAGCTCATGGCTATTCTTGTAAAATAAATAAATTTTTACATTTGATTAAAAGAGAATTTTTTTATTTAAAGTTTAATCTTAACCATTTTTGTCTTATTTAAAAAAAAGTAAGTAGAAATGAAACTATAAAAATGACGATGATATTGTTTTTCAGAGGTCAAAAAAGAAATCCAGGAGTTGTATGGACTGATAAACTATGGGGTCCTGAGAAAGAAGGTCAAAGGAGGTATTGCTTAAATGTATTTGTTTTCACTTTAGTAGGGTTTATTTTAAGGAACCTGTGTCATCAGTGTTTCTGCTAACTTTTAAAACCAAGGCTCATTATGACCCTTTGATGCAAACTTTGGGGAGTCAAAAAGATTTTTTGAGGGTCAAAATATATTTGGTTTTGCTTTTAGTTCTTATATTAGCTATGCCTTCTAAAATCATACATTTGATGTTTAAAAATTAAAAAAAAAATGAAAGTAAAATATAATTGATTACTTCTTTCATTTACCGCTACACCTGTCACATTTTACTGATTTGGCCATTAGGGTTTCGTGAATACCTCAATCAAAAGATAACAATTGAAAGTGGTTGAATTCTTTAAAAAACTGTTTATTAATGATTTGAACTTTGCTCACCTTTTTATTAGCTCACCTGAGCCGAAGGCTCAAGTGAGCTTTTCTGATCAAAATTTGTCCGTTGTCTGTCGTCGTTGTCGTTGTTGTCGTCGTAAACTTTTCACATTTTCATCTTCTTCTCAAGAACTACTGGGCCAATTTCAACCAAACTTGGTACAAAGTTTCCTTGGGTGAAGGGGATTCAAGTTTGTTCAAATGAAGGGCCACGCCCTTTTCCAAGGGGAGATAATCATGAATTTTGTTAAAAATTAATGGCATTTTTAAAAAATCTTCTTCTCCAGAACCGCTGGGCCAGGAAAGATGAAACTCATGTGGAATCATCCTCAGGTAGTGTAGATTCAAGTTTGTTCAAATCATGACCCCCGGGACTAGGGTGGGGCCAAAATGGCCGACCCAAGTTTTACATAGGAATATATATGCAAAAATCTTTAAAAATCTTCTTCTCCAGAACCACTGGGCCAGGAAAGATTGTGGAATCATCCTCAGGTAGTGTAGATTCAAGTTTGTTCAATCATGACCCCCGGGGCTAGGGTGGGGCCAAAATGGCCGACCCAAGTTTTACATAGGAATATGTAGGAAAAATCTTTAAAAATCTTCTTCTCCAAGGAAGGATGAAACTCATGTGGAATCATCCTCAGGTAGTGTAGATTCAAATTTGTTCAAATCATGACCCCCGGGGCAAAGGTGGGGCCAAAATGGCTGACCCAAGTTTTACATAGGAATATATAGGAAAAATCTTTAAAAATCTTCTTCTCCAGAACCACTGGGCCAGGAAAGATGAAACTCATGTGGAATCATCCTCAGGTAGTGTAGATTCAAGTTTGTTCAAATCATGACCCCCGGGGCTAGGGTGGGGCCAACATGGCCGACCCAAGTTTTACATAGGAATATATAAGAAAAATCTTTAAAAATCTTCTCTCCAGAACCACTGGGCCAGGAAGGATGAAACTCATGTGGAATCATCCTCAGGTAGTGTAGATTCAAATTTGTTCAAATCATGACCCCCGGGGAAAAGGTGGGGCCAAAATGGCTGACCCAAGTTTTACATAGGAATATGTAGGAAAAATCTTTAAAAATCTTCTTCTCCAGAACCACTGGGCCAGGAAGGATGAAACTCATGTGGAATCATCCTCAGGTAGTGTAGATTCAAGTTTGTACAAATCATGACTCCCGAGGCAAGGGTGGAGCCAAAATGGCCGACCCTAGTTTTACATAGGAATATATAGGAAAAATCTTTAAAAATCTTCTTCTCCAGAACCACTGGGCCAGGAAAGATGAAACTCATGTGGAATCATCCTCAGGTAGTGTAGATTCAAGTTTGTTCAAATCATGACCCCCGGGGCTAGGGTGGAGCCAAAATGGCCGACCAAAGTTTTACATAGGAATATATAGGAAATATCTTTAAAAATCTTCTTCTCCAGAACCACTGGGCCAGGAAAGATGAAACTCATGTGGAATCATCCTCAGGTAGTGTAGATTCAAGTTTGTTCAAATCATGACCCCCGGGGCAAGGGTGGAGCCAAAATGGCTGACCCTAGTTTTACATAGGAATATATAGGAAAAATGTTTAAAAATCTTTTCAAGAACCACTGGGCCAGGAAAGATGAAACTCATGTGGAATCATCCTCAGGTGTAGATTCAAGTTTGTTCAAATCATGACCCCCGGGGCAAGGGTGGAGCCAAAATGGCAGACCCTAGTTTTACATAGGAATATATAGGAAAAATCTTCTTCTCCAGAACCACTGGGCCAGGAAAGATGAAACTCATGTGGAATCATCCTCAGGTAGTGTAGATTCAAGTTTGTTCAAATCATGACCCCCGGGGCAAGGGTGGGGCCAAAATGGCTGACCCAAGTTTTACATAGGGATAGATAGGGAAACCTTTTAAAATCTTCTTTTCAACTACTTCAAAGCTATGATTAGTGATATTTAAATGGAATCATCCTCAGGTAGTGTAGATTCTAGTTTGTTCAAATGATGAATGCCTGGAGGGGGGGGGGGGGAGTAAATTCAAGCCCGATGTGCTCAGGTGAGCGCTGTGGCCCCTGGGCCTCTTGTTACCATTATTAGCCTTTTTGACTAAGCCAAGCTGATATAAATATACTGATGTAAGACTGAACATGCTGAAGTGCCATTTTTTTCTGCACTTCCAGTTTTGTTAAGAATTAGATAGATCGTACAAAAGAATTTAATAGATTGTTGGCATGTAAATGCCGATTTCAATCACTTCCACTTTGAAATTAAACTAAAAGCAATGATTGATTCCTAGAAAGTTAATTAAACATGTTAAATATCTTCTTCTATGAAGGTATCAACATTGAACTGGATTTTTAAAATTCGTTTTCATATTTTTTTTCGGCGTCATGATGACCCTTTAGGTGACGTTTTAGGGGGTAAAAAGTATTTTTTATGCGTAAAATACGCAGAAATATGCATTAACGGAAACACTGGTCATGCCAGTCTAAATGTCTTGTATTAATTCTTTTTCTTATAATCAAATACAATGCAACTTAGACTAAATATCCTCAATCACCAAGGATAATTGTTATTCATTACATTTTCATTTACTCTTATAGCTCAGAAACTTTTCTGATTGAAATATGTCAGTTTATTGTCATGATAACTATTTTTTTGTAACATTTCCACCTTCTTCTTTAGAACCACAGAGTCAGTTTCAGCCAAACTTGACAGAGAATATCCTTGAGTGAGGGGGATTCAGTTTTTTTTTCAAATAAAGGGTCACATCCTTTTATGTTAATTGTCTCTGCCCAATATCTTAGCACAGAATTTTTTTTTCATATTTGACTTACATGTATATTTCACCATTTCAACTAATTACAATAAAATTGATCGGGATATTTGATTTTATTATAATTTACAAATATTTTTAATTTCAGTTTTGAATGAGAAGGTTGGAGTCAAGCTGAATGAACTCATCTATACAGGGTAGTTAAAAAAAAAAAAATGTATTAGAAATGAGACACAAATGTTTTTGAAATACTTTTTTGGACCTGTTTTCATTTTATTGCAACCATCTGTAGACATTATCTTATATCAGTTTTGTTGATCATTTCCTAATTTTGGTCAAGAACTACATTAAAGATTTATTTTAAATGCTAGATATTTTGAACAACATAGTACATTTAATCAATTTGAGATGAATTATTCTCTCCTGATGATATATATGTGATTTGTTTTATTTGTTCAATCTTCAGATGCACAGCTGTGAAAGTACGTGGAAAAAATGTGAGGTAAGAAGTAATGTAATTTCTTTAAGGATAACAACTTTACTGCAGAGAGTGCGCATGTATTTACATATTGATATACTGTCTACAAGGAAATTTTTACCCCTCATTATTTTTGCCCCTTTTCCTCTTTTAAAAGGAAGTGAATTTTACAATGGATCAAATTCAATGAACATTGTACAATTTTTTACATAGAACTGTGACTTGGGGAGTATAAAATGGGGCATAATTGTTTCCAAGTGTGAAAGGGCAAAAATAACAGGGTGAAAATATAACCATATATACAATATATTGAGATATCGAAATGACCATATTGAAATGGATCAACATAACAGAAAATGATTTAACATTGAGTAACAAAAAAATGCATCTTTTCTGACACTTTTGTCAAGATCAAGGGTTACACAATGATTTTTTCTGTCTGAAAAAAAAATTATGAATATGTAATGGCCAACTTGCATGAAACCAGCTTCCTAGTTGCAAACAACAGAATAAAGACGTCTCAGAATTTGATCTATGATCTTTTTGGAAATACAGAATAGCATTGGAATATTGCTGTTGAATCAATTATCTTTACTTCAGTATTAAAATTTGCAATCATCTTCTTTGGGAGAAGACTGAAGGTTGACCGCATACTATTGTGCTTTTATGATATGAAAGTTTTCAATACATGTACAATAATGTTTTGCAGGATAAAGACTCCTATGTGCAATGCTTTAAAGAAGTTGAACAATATCGACGGTAAGTTGAGGTTAGATAACAAGGAGAATTTTCTGGCCTTTGCCAAAGACAGAACATGTCAAAATTTCAACTGATATAGAAAATATCACTGTAACAATATAACTCATGTTCTGTTTTATTTCTTTACTAGATCATAAATCAGAGTCTTCAGAAAAGGTGCCAGACAAAATCTGTGTAGAGATGACTCCTAAAACCAATGCTGCCTGGTCCTTTGTCCAGGAAATGGCCACCAATCCTAGACTCAGAATGCTACTGAAAGGGGACAGAAAACTGTCTTCTGTCATGAACTACATGTCCAGCAAATGGAAACCTCGTAGAGTTAAACTTGTATCCTTGTACATTCCATCATTTTTGATGATTTCTACTTTTTATAAGCTCGGTTCGGTAAGGCTGTCATGGGTGAGTGTTGTGGCCCTTGAGCACCTTGTTTCTAGTTTGACATAACTAAAATTTGGAACTCCTTATTTCTATGGTTTTAAAATCTTGTATCACGAAATTCCCTTTTCTCACTGTCTCATATAGAATTATATCTAAACTATGTATATAATACATCTGAACATAGAAAAAAATGTGCCAGTAAAAATTCCTATACTAATGATAGAGAGAGGGTTTGGATGGAGAGAACGATATGAACACTGTACTGAAGGTGTACCCCCACAGGGATTGTGAGATCACCCCAGTATCACTGCACTCAATCAAGGAGCCAAAGATCAACTTAGCATTTAATCACTACAAAGAAAGCATTAAAAGTAGGTCATGTTTAATCACTACAAAGAAAGCCTCAAAAGTAGGTCATGTTTAATCACTACAAAGAAAGCCTTAGAAGTAGGTCATGTTTAATCACTACAAAGAAAGCATCAAAAGTAGAATTTTCAAAGCAGCAATGCATATGAACCAGTAAAAAATTACTTGAACTGAGTGTGACACTAAATGATTTTTGTACTTAAATTAAAGCTGCTTTGAGGTATATTTTATTTATTTTTATGAGTTATCTATACATATCTTTCGTGTTTGCAGACTCAATCACGGTTTCTAAAGGAAAGAAAACTGAAGCACCAGTCCCAGTTCCTACCTGTGACAGTTCTTCAGTGGATGGTGGAGAATCATTACCAAGCAATACATTTGATTCTCCACGGTCAACAAAGAGTGGCCGAGACTCGGCAAAACCTGACACTGGATCAGCATTCTCATTGGACGTTGGTGCCATTGTTGATGGGGATAATGCTATGTTTCCTGACACACTTTTATCCCCCTCCCAGAAGAAGGAGGGAAGCTGTCTGAACAAGGAAGGAAGTAGTAACACAATAGAACTCTCCTCTGTAGCAGACACAGACGGTTGTATTCCCATGGAAACTCAAGTTGTAGAAGAGCAGCAAATCGGTTGTGATAGTGACATTAAAGCTGAACCTACAGTTGAGGAATTGGCAGCTATTGAATCTCGTAAACTGAAAGAGGCCCTGGAAGGGGGCCTGACCTCTGATAGGGCTGATATGACACTGGCTGAACTGTATTTAATGTTTGGAAAGGATGGCAAACTTCGCATTGAGTATGATTGGTGCAAAGAAGAGATTATACCTCAGAGACTGTGTAATATGTTAAGGAGGCTAGTAAATTTAGCAACCATTCAGTTTGCTGATCTGAGTACAAAGGTAGGAGTATTGCATTATTCTCCCTTTATTCATTGCATTTCATTTCTGTATATCAAGTATGTACATTTCAAATGCCTATTTAAACTTGTATGAATGATGGATCTAAGGATGCATACTACCAGGCTTGCTTTATCTGACCAATATGTAAATCATAAACCTATTCTTTATTTAATACTAAAGCCAAAAATGTTATTATGGTGTAGTAATCAAGAACTTTTACTGTTGCAGAGTCCCAATAGTTCAAATTCTCCGTGCCATGCTTGTGGAATGGTGAAAAGCAAATCTAGAGTTAGCAATACTCGAGGACAGAAAAGCAGATACCCCCTGTCTTCTAAATATGGAGAAGGCTTTAGTGATGCAAGTACTCAGACCAGTGTTTCACAAAAAGGAGATGTAAGTAACTCTAGGCTTCTGTGAGTCTTCTAATTACAGAAAAAGAGAGGTCAAAGATTTATTTTCTTTTGGATTCCTTAACAATTTTCTTCGTTGAAAATATTAATAAACGAAGTATTTCATTAACAGAGTATAAAATATTTACACAAAAGACTTAAAATTCATTGAAAAACAGTAAAATTGATATGGTTTAAATTCTTGATTACAGAACTCTGATTCAAAAGATGCAGTTTTCCGTGTCCCGGTGTACAGTCCCGCTTTCTTACAAAAAAACCTGAGTGGACCATCAACGAGCAAACCAAATCAAGTCAATACCACCAATTTCCTCCCTGTAAGTACATACCAAACCAAGTCAATACCACAAACTTCTCCCTGTAAGTACAAACCAAGTCAAAACCACAAACTTCTCCCTCTAAGTACAAACCAAACCAAGTCAATACACAAACTTCTCCCTGTAAGTACATACCAAACCAAGTCAATACCACAAACTTCTCCCTGTAAGTACAAACCAAGTCAATACACTAAAGCAAGTCAATACTCAAACTTCCTCCTTGTAAGTACAAACCAAACCAAGTCAATACTCAAACTTCCTCCTTGTAAGTACAAACCAAACCAAGTCAATACTCAAAAACTTCCTCCTTGTAAGTACAAACCAAACCAAGTCAATACTCAAAAACTTCCTCCTTGTAAGTACAAACCAAACCAAGTCAATACCACAAACTTCCTCCCTGTAAGTACGTACCAAACCAAGTCAATACACAAACTTCCTCCTTTTAAGTACATACCAAACCAAGTCAATACCACAAACTTCCTCCCTGTAAGTACGTACCAAACCAAGTCAATACACAAACTTCCTCCCTGTAAGTACAAACCAAACCAAGTCAATACACAAACTTCTCCCTGTAAGTACAAACCAAACCAAGTCAATACACAAACTTCTCCCCTGTAAGTACAAACCAAACCAAGTACAAACCAAACCAAGTACACAAACTTCTCCCCTGTAAGTACAAACCAAACCAAGTCAATAACACAAACTTCTCCCCTGTAAGTACATACCAAACCAAGTCAATACCACAAACTTCCTCCTTTTAAGTACATACCAAACCAAGTCAATACACAAACTTCCTCCTTGTAAGTACAAACCAAACCAAGTCAATACCACAAACTTCCTCCTTGTAAGTACATACCAAACCAAGTCAATACACTAAAGCAAGTCAATACACAAACTTCCTCCTTTTAAGTACATACCAAACCAAGTCAATACACAAACTTCCTCCTTGTAAGTACATACCAAACCAAGTCAATACCACAAACTTCTCCCTGTAAGTACAAACCAAACCAAGTCAATACACAAACTTCTCCCTGTAAGTACAAACCAAACCAAGTCAATACACAAACTTCTCCCTGTAAGTACAAACCAAACCAAGTCAATACACAAACTTCTCCCTGTAAGTACAAACCAAACCAAGTCAATACCACAAACTTCTCCTTGTAAGTACAAACCAAACCAAGTCAATACCACAAACTTCTCCCTGTAAGTACAAACCAAACCAAGTCAATACCACAAACTTCCTCCCTGTAAGTACAAACCAAACCAAGTCAATACACTTACTTCTCCCGGTAAGTACTAACCAACAAACTTTTCCCTGTAAGTACAAACAAATTAATATTAATATTTGATGTATTGATATAGTTTGAACAATTATAATGCATGCATGTATTATCCAGAAAAATCTATTTCATTTCATACAGCCACAAAGAGGAATAAAAAAGATTCGAACAAATCGGAAGCAACTATCTATACAGCGCAATATCTTACCCAAGCAGCCGATGGTGGTACTGCGCCCCTCAGTAACTCAGCAGCCTCTTACTGTCCCCGTCTGTCCGTCTGTAGGTCTGGTCAGCTTACCAAACAATGGAGTTAGACTGCAGCCTAGAATGAATACTACAACAGGTAAAATAAAAAAAAATATTAATGCCAATTTCATCTTTAGTTCTCCTGCCAGTTTTCGTGTTTATTTTGCACAGCAGAATTCATAAATTATAGAACAAAGTATTTTGAGATACTTATCAATAAGAAGACATTCCCATTCACTTTTGACATTACAGAAGAATAAAGAACAAATCAGGACAAATTTATATCTCAATACATGTATTTCACATAATCAACATTGTTTGGCTTATATAAATCTCTATTAGTATGGAAAAGAGTATTAAATTATGCTATTAATGAAAAAAAGGTACAAGTAATAACAGTATGATCTTAACATGTATATCATTTATTTTTTGAAAAACTACAGATAAAATTGTTACTTCATTGTCAATATTAATTCAGCAAAATAAAAAAAAAAATTCTGATAAGAGTGAAGTTACATCTGTGTTGTTTACAGGTATCCCTAGAGGCACCCCAGTGCAGTTGAATGTCCGACCCCAGTCCCCACAGGTCGACCCCCAAATCGTCTCTGTAAACAGTAACATGAGTCAGGTCAAACAATGGAGTTAGACTGCAGCTGGTTTGTAAAATAAAAAAAAATATTAATGCCAATTTCATCTTTAGTTCTCCTGCCAGTTTTCTTGTTTATTTTCCACAGCAGAATTCATAAATTATAGAGAACAAAGTATTTTGAGATGCTTAACAATAAGAAGACATTCCCATTCACTTGTGACATTACAGAGGAATAAAGAACAAATCAGGACAACTTTATATCTCAGTACATGTATTTCACATAATCAACATTGTTTGGCTCATATAAATCTCTATTAGTATGGAAAAGAGTATTAAATTATGCATAATATCAAAATAACAGTTGTCAACATGTATATCATTTATTTTTTGAAAATTCTTTTGCTAATTAAACACAAGGCAGTAGCATGATCCATTTTATAAAAGCCAGATATCTGAATTGTTCTGTAATTTTTGTGAAAGTTAATCATATTTATGCTGTATTTTTCTATCAACAGTTGCTGAGTGGTGTTGACATAGACCTCTCCCAGAGTTCCTCGGCTACTACATTGTCGGAGAGTGCCTCAAAGAAGGAGGAAACAGTCCCCCGCCATACTCTGTCCCCACCAAACATGTCCGCTCTCCTGGACATGTCCCTCTCTAACTTACCAGCTGCCAGTATGTACTATCTCGCTCACTCTAACTAAAGGCTTAAGTAAGCTTATCTGATGGAAGGGCATCAGTCTTTGGTTGTTTGTAAGCTCCAAATCTTGTTCTCTAGAACTTTTGGGTCAGAAAAAATTAAACATATGCCAAAGCTTTCAGACACATGTAAATTTACTTGTGTTCATATTGGCTTTAATTGGGAAGATGATGTAACAATAGGGGATCAAAGTCTTACATGGATATGAAAAATGAGAAAATTTATATATAATGTATTTTTTTTCTTAAGAACAGTAGAACTTTAAGTTATATAAATATTGAAGCATCTACATATTGTGTAGATTCATTGTTGTTCAAGTTTGTCTGAAAGGGATAGGGAGGGGCCATCACAAAGGTTTACAGAATATTTAATTTAGGAGAAAAATCATTTTTAGCTCACCTCAACGAAGTTGGCGGGAGCTTATGTGATACCCTCGGCGTCGGCGTCCCGGGTTAAGGTTAAGTTTTTTGGAGCAGTTTTCTTTTTAAGTACTTCTGTGTCCTATATTGATTAGACTTGCATGGAAGATGTTTCTAGTGTGTTTCATTGTACCAGTCAAAGTTTCAGATGTCACAGTTTCAGCAAAGGAATGACCAGGTTAATGTTTTTGGAGCAGGTTAACATTTTTGGTGCAGTTTTTGGTGTAGGTCTCATTTCCGAGTAACTATAAGCCCTATGTTGACCAAACTTGCATGGATGGTACATCAAGGATGCATGTACCAGATTTGCTATAAAAGCTGATATCTGACCTACATTTTCTGGTTTTTGTGAACAGGTTTCATTTCATATACTATGAGCTGTATAATGACCAAACTTGCATGGAGTACATCTTATGACATAGACCTCTCCTTCGGATGCTGAATCTGACCTACATTTTTTGGAGAGTAAACAGGTTAAAGTTTATGGTGCAGGATTCATTTCCAAGTAACTTTGAGCCCACCAAACATGTCCAAACTTGCATGGATGGTACATCTAAGGGTGCATTCTACTAGGCTGGCTTCAGAAGCTGAATCTGACCTACATTTTCAGGATTAGAGAAAAGGTTAGTTTTTTATACAGGTTTCATTTCCAAGTAACTTTGAGCTCTATGTTGAACAAACTTGCATGGATGATACATCTTAGGGTGCACACTAATGGACTTGCTTCAGATGAATTTGACATACATTTTCATGTAAATTTACTTGTGTTATGGGTGCAGGTCTATCACGAAGAAACTATAAGGCTTATATAAACCAAAGTTGCAAAATGATGCATGAAAAATGAAAAATTTATATATAGATGCTGGATTTTTTACATTTTCATGATGAAGAACAGGTTTGAAGTTTTATAGGTTATTAAATATCAAAATCAAAATTGCATAAATTTTGTATTTTTGGATGTACACTTTTTGTTGGTTAATTGTGTGACTTAATTTGCCTTACAAGGTTTATAGAATATATAATTTAGGAGAAAAAATCATTTTTTAAAAATCTTAATGAACACTAGGGCTATATTCACAATCATATATAAATAATCTTCAGTAGTCTAGAATGAAACATTTAGCTTATGACAGTAAATGAAGGTCTGATGCCCACAGATACAAAGAAAATCTGGTATAAGTATTCACCTGATTTTGTTTTTCTAGCTTCAGAAAATACTGATAAACTGATAGACTTGGCACTTGGGAATTCCAATACAACATTTTCAAGTAAGTTCAGTATGTTTATAGTTTATAATTCTTATCGGAATTAGTACATTGAATTCATTGATGTTTAAAAGAATATCTATGCATTGGTAACATTAGTTAAAAGGATGATAGTGTTTTTCACAGACTTTGTAAAATTGTTTTCAGCACTATTAGATACCCAGAATCGTGATATTTTAAATACACCACCGAAAAAGAATCCCAGTAAATACTCATCTCCTCCAGGCAGCCCTACCAATCCATGGCTAAATACAGGCGTGGTAAGAAATGCTTTTTAAAAATTCTCTGATGAATTTGTTTCCAAAAAGTCTTAAGGAGCATGGTTCCATTGAGAGTTATAAAATTTAAATCTTGTTATTTGTATGTAGTTGCAGTAAAATTGTGTGATAAAGAACTTGCTTTATGGAAATCTTAATAATAAGGAAACTTGAATGATTCTTATAGAAAGCTTAGAACTTCTGTATATAAAGACTTTCTCTATAAGGAAATGAGGTTAGAAATCCAAGTGACTTCCTTATTGATGAATGCTTTACAATCTGATATTTTTGTAGGATGGAGGTGATCTGACGTTTATGAATCTCCTGTCTGACTCCCCGCTGAAGCCCCCGCATACTTACCATGTCACCACCCCCTCTAATCCTGTCATACAGACCACACCCCTGTTCAGTGAGAGTTCACGTGACTCCATCATGGGTCGATTAGATGTAAGTTGTTGATCAGAATATAAACCTTAAGTTTCAAATGTGGCAAAAAAATTGTGTGAAATTTTCATTTTATTTTTTTTCACTGTACAATCAATTTAAATTAAAATTTTGTAAAAATTTCTAAATTAATTTTAAGCTTCTTTTACATAAGAGCAATCTTTACAGAGTTGGGAGAAAGAACTGCTCAATAATAAATCACGAATTGAATTATTGATTATACATGTACATGTCCTTTTGAAGAGTTCCAATTTACTCACTTTTACATATTTTTAAAAAAACTTTTGAGGAATTTTTTTTTTTAGAAAACTTAAGCAGAATAGGATATTCAATAATACCTATTTAGCAAGTGATGTACCCAAAGCAATTTGTAAAAAAATAATAAGAGAGCAAGAGAGAAAGGAAAAAAATTGAGATTCCTTTAAAATGCTACTCTTAGATTTGGTTTCATTTCAATAAAACGTGGTATATGTATAATTTTTGTCAAACTTTTGAGGAATTTTTAGGAAACATAGGTAGAATAGGGTATTCAATTAAACCCTGTATAGCAAATGAAATGCCCAAAAGAAATTTTAAAATAATAAGAGAGCAAGGAATGAGTAGAAAAAAAATTGAGATTCCTCCAAAATGCTACTCTTAGATTTGATTCCATTCCAATAAAACTTAGTACATGTATAAGTTTTAATATTAAACTTCAGGATACAAATTAAAACTTTCTTCTCCACTTCAAAGAGACACCAATTTGAAGTCACTATTTTCTCAAATTTTCATTATAATATCATGACTTCCACATATATGTTGCTATAGCAGTTCTCATGGAAATATGATAAAAACTTATTTTATCTTAATTTTTTTAAAAATACGAAATTTGGGGTGTGTTTGATTGACCCATCCTTGCACTTTTACAAAGTAAACATTATCCTCAATACTTAAGAAAAGTAGAAGTTTTGTTGTGTATTAATGAAAATTATTATAACTATAATCCAGAAAATTTAGAGTAAAAATGTAATGAAGCAAAACCAACCCACCAGTATTGTCAAACCATGCAGAGTTTAAGCAAGAAATTGAACACACCTGGTAAAACAAGCATTAACAATAACAGAGCTTGTGCCCTATTTAAAAAATTAGAAAAAGAGTCATAGCCTCATCAGAAAGTTCTGACATTTTGTTTACTGGTAGATCTATAGAAATTTCAAAGACCTGTAATTTTTGATTTAACCAGTGTGTGTTTGTTTCAGGTGGATGGAACTTTACAAAGTGTTATGAATGAGAATAGTATTGATTATGCTGTGAAATTCCAAGATCTTGCGGCTCACATTTCTGGAAATGTAGACAGTTCACTCCTACTGAGAAAAACAGACTCTAGTGGGTGAACTATCCCAGGTTTCCACTTCCTGTCACATGACATCAAAACTCTGTCATCTTTACTGTTTTGTTTGTTTGTTTTTTTTTTTAACCATAAAAACTTGAATACTCCTCAGAGTTTTACCCAAGTTTGACTGTGTGTTCGGCAGCCTCTGAAGTGACAGACATGTACTGGCTTCAGGAAATTCAGTTGTACAGTTAATGGTTAAAACAATAATTTTGTGTTCAAATTAAGACATATTCTTTTACTTTACATTCTTATCTTCTGAAAAGTAGGTTGAGACATATGAAATAAGAATTACAAATTACCCTCTATCGAAAAGCAGATTGTAACAAAAAGGACCAAGCGAAAAACACAAACAGTGCGGGGTATGAGAATTCTTAATGTAAGATATTGGTGTATATTTCTTTCCTTGCAATTTTCTATGTGGATTGAAGTAGAGAAAAATATCTAGATTGCTTTGTTATTTATTTTACACAAGCATTTCTCTGACTTGAGAGGCCTTGATGTTACTGCCTTCCTAGCATTGTTATTATTTGTTATGAATTGTAGCCATTATCTTTTATTTACTGTGATTAAATATAACATGAATTTTGTGTAGTGTTATTGGTAATAGAAGAGTGAGTTATACAATATTACTTGTACCTATTTTAGGAAAAGGTAATACCCTTTAGCGGATTTCTGTAGCAGGTTAAATCTTGCTCAAAGGTATGCTAATTGTTAATTATTACAGGAGAACTTTGGTGACACACATTTACATGACGATGTAAAGGGAATGTCCATCTTATACTAGAGAAGTTTTCATTATCGAATACCAATGTAGGCATGAATTTGAAAGAGGACAAACCATCACCAGGTGAAAGATATATTCATATTTCTGATTACCAATATCTATGTTGTTTTTTGGAGACCAGGTGTTCCAACGATTTATTGGAATTCCCATAGGTAATAATTGTGTCCCTTTATTAGCAGACCTATTTTTAGCTCACCTGAGCTGAAAGCTCAAGTGAGCTTTTCTGATCACCTGTTGTCCGTCCGTCTGTAAACTTTTCACATTTTCATCTTCTTCTCAAGAACCACTGGGTCAGTTTTAACCAACCTTGTTACAAAGCATCCTTTGGTGATGGGGAGTTTAAATTGTTAAAATGAAGGGCCAAGCACTCCCCTTCCACTGGGAGATAATTCATGAAAAGACAAAAATAGGATGGGGTCATTAAAAAATCTTTTTCTCAAGAACCACTGGGCCATAAAACCTGAAACTTATGTGGAAGTATCCTGGGGTAGTGCAGATTCTAAATTGTTCAAATCATCTCTTCCGGGGGTAGGGAGGGGCCACAATAGGAAATCTTGTTTTTACATAGAAATATATAAGAAAAATCTTTAAAAATCTTCTCAAGAATCACTGGGTCTTAAAAGCTGAAACTTATGTGGAAGCATCCTTAATAAGTGTAGATTCTAAATTGTAAAAATCATGACCCTGGAGGTAGGGCGGGCCACAAAACGGAATCCAAGTTGTACATTGAAATATATAGGAAAAACCTGTAAAAAATATTCTTATCAAGAACCACTAGGCCAATAAAGCTGACACTTATGTGGAAGCATCCTGGGGTAGTGTAGATTCTAAATTATTAAACTTCCCGCAAACGAAGTTTGGGGGGGTATATAGGAATCACCTTGTCCATCTGTCTGTCTAGCTGTCCGTCTGTCTGTGCAAAATGTGTCCGGTCCATATCTTTCTTATGGAGGGACATTTACTACTCCACACAAAGATTGCCTATGACCTAAGGGTGTTTCATGACCTTGACCCAAGGTAATTTTGTGAAGTTCAAGGTCACTGGAAGAAAAAGTTCATAATTCGTTTCCGGTCCATATCTTTCTTATGGATAAACTTGGTAAGTTCTCAATTTCACGCAAAGATTGCCCATGATTCAAGAATGTGTCATGACCTTGACCCAAGATCATTTCGGGAAGTTCAAGGTCACTGGAAGAAAATTTTCATAATTTGTGTCCGGTCCATATCTTTCTTATGGATAAACTTGGTAAGTTCTCATTTCAAGCAAAGATTGCCCATGATCCAAGGGTGTGTCATGACCTTGACCCAAGGTCATTTGGGGAAGTTCAAGGTTACTGGAGGAAAATTTTCATAATTTGTGTCCGGTCCATATCTTTCTTATGGATAAATTTGGTAGGTTCTCATTTCACACAAAGATTGCTCTTGACACAAGGATGTGTCATGACCTTGACCCAAGGTCATTTGGGGAAGTTCAAGGTCACTGGAAGAAAAAGTTCATAATTCATGTCCAGCCATATCTTTCTTATGGATAAACTTGGTAGGTTCTCATTTTACACAAAGATTGCCCATGACCCAAGGGTGTGTCATGACCTTGACCCAAGGTCATTTGGGGAACTTCAAGGTCACTGGAAGAAAAATTTCATAATTCATGTGTGATGCATATCTTTATTATGGAAAAACTTACTTCTGAAAAACCCAGCGGGGGGTATTTTATCCCATTTGGACAGTTCTAGTTAAATTTAAGATGAGGGACGGGGGCACAATAGATATAAGAAGAGGTGAAATATTGTAAAGAATTGCATCACCAAAGTTACTCAAGTGAGCGATGTGGCCCATGGGCTTCTTGTTGTATTCATATGAAGCAGAATGTGTGCAAAATCTTATGCGTGAAAAGAAGAAATCACTTGCTTTTGCCTTCAACTGGACATTTATATAGATCGATGACGTATTGTCAATAAACAATTGTAATTTCAATTCTTATGTCGATACGATATATCCTGGTGAGCTTGAGATAAAAGATACCTCAGAGTCTGACACATCTGTTTCATATTTGAATAATTTACTTGAAGAAAACGTTAATGGTAACCTGACAACCAAGGTCTATGTTAAAGTGATAAAATGAAATTGACTTTAACTTTTCTATCGTCAACTTCCCTAATACCCCACTATACCTTCATCACCTGCATATGGAGTTTATGTATCTCATATCTCGATTCAATATGCATGAGCATACTCTACGTATGAACAGTTTCTTAAACGAGGTAAATTATTAACAAACAAGTTGATGAATCAAGAATTTTAGCAGTCTCGTTTAAAGGCATCATTACGTAAGTTCTATGGTCGGCAAAATGACATTGTCAGCAAATACAGTTTATCATTGAGTCAAATGCTAATTGACGTTTCTCATACTAATTGTTAGTCAATTATTTACACACTCGTCTGAATTGACAATGGATTTTCTGTTATTTCTTAATCATGACTAGGAGCACACGGCGGGTGTGACCGGTTGACAGGGGATGCTCACTCCTCCATGGCACCTGATCACATCTGTTTTGAAGGTCCGTGTTTGTTCTGCTATTTTGTATTGTTTTATGGACTTTTGATCTTGTATACTTTTCGTTATCTCCATAGGTTTCATTGTAAAGCAACATAATTTTTTCTGTATTCAGTATTAATGTCAAATGTGCCAATATAGGCCAGCATCAGGTCAAAACTGCTGCATTGACTGATTCTATTTATTGAGAAGGGGAATAACTCAATTTTTATTTTTCCAAGCTGAAGAAGAAAATTGAGTAATTCCCCTTTTCTTAAATGCCGAGATAGACGTTTTCATATAGCCTCAATTTAGGTCTATGATAAACAATATATTTCTTGTTAGTTTACGGTATTTTTGGATTAAATTTCAAATAAATGTTCGAAATATTAGTCAAAGTTGAATACATATTATATTTAATGTAAGGGAACAAAAATTAAGAATCGGTTTGATGACATCATATTTTGTTGAATGACTAACATGAAGACAGGTATAATACCTGCTTCAAATAAAGGAGAAAAAACTGCCTGTCACATTGATTTTTGAAATTTTTGGCCTGAGATATTATTAATTAATTTTTTGGGCCTTAGCAAATAAAATTGAAGCAAAGTCGTGGACATCAAAATGGCCGAAATAAGGGAAGGTTACCACCCTGGTCAAATTTCCCCCTCTGTCTTCTTCAGATGTTTAAAATCAGGTCTGTAATCAGGTGTATAACAAAATAAACCAAATGTCCAGATTTCCTGATTGGATTAATGTAAACATGAAAATAGTATCCTTTAATATTAAGAAATAATACTTCATGTTTTGAATTGCTTTGTCTCAACTTTCTGGAAAAAAAATCTATAGAGTGGACCCCCTCAATCTTGCTGCAGTTTTGTGAAAATAAAAGAGTTGTATAATATTTACCACTAAGTTTGTTTTCATGAAAAAATTAATACTTTATATTTTAACCCGTAGTACCGATTAAGGGACTCCGACCCTCAGCCAGGAAGGACAACTCTTTAATTTATAATTTAATTCAAAAAGTCTTTAAATGAAGCTTGAAAATTAAATATTTTCATGCAACAATTTTCATTATATGCCTCTCAATGTGCTTCAAGGTTCTTTGCAAAGCTCCATAAATCACTTCTAATTTCATATCATGTTAATAAACATTAGTATCTAAAAATGCTTTTTCGGGATAAAAATTTCTACTTTTAATTAGACCTTTCTGAGAAGTTCAAAGAACCTTGAAGCACATTGAGAGGCATATAATGAAAATTGTTGCATGAAAATATTTAATTTTCAAGATTTATTTAAAGACATTTTGAATTAAATTATAAATAAGGTGTTTCGATAATTTGTAGATATACAAGATGAAAAACTGTATTTTAAAATGTCATTTTTAATGAAAAATGAAAACCAGTCTGAAAATGGGAGTTTTTTTCTGTATCCAGATTGCCTACAGTCTTTCAGAAAGCGGTAATTTGTATGTTCATGGCCTCTTCTGTAAATCAATATCAAATTTAATATAGGGAAGGAATGGGTTGTCAAATTGATGCATTGTATAGTAATGAAAGGGTTGTCTCTCTTTAAATGTTCTAACAAACAAGCAGGTCGACTTTGAATTGTTTATAACAGGTGATGCATCGACCTAGATTGACTCATTTTGAAAATAAAGACATAGATTGTTTTACTTCATCATTGTTTAGTTCTAACAAACAAGCAGGTCAACTTTGAATTGATGCATCGACCTAGATAGACTCATTTTGAAAATAAAGACATAGATTGTTATACTTCATCATTGTTTATCAAGAAAGGTATTTTATTTTCCTCAGACTGTGGCGTCGTTAAGTGATGATTCTGCCGTAACAGAATCATCTTTGTGAGGAGGTGAAATTGGATGCCATTGAATCATATGTTTGAAGGACCAGGTGTACTTGCACTGATTTATCCCTTCAAGGACAGTTGATTTATAAGGTCGCTCACTCAATGAGGGTTCTGTTTATACAGACAATGGGGAAATAAGTAATCAACGTTCTTGTCATTTTTAAGATGCTCTCTTTCTCAGAGCAATATTCTCTGAATCTTACTCCGAATATTGTTCATCTGACAACAAAACACTATACAATGGTCATTGGCCTTCTCGTTTCCTCAGCTGCCGAATTTCCTTTTACAAAGATATAGAAATCAAAGAAAATTTATTTCTATCAAGTGTACACACGCATGGTGAGATTTTGTGTGCGTCGACTGGGTGTTCTGTTTGGCTTTATAGGGCTTTGG